GTATGCAACAAAGAGGTATGTGCATCTGAATATTGCTTTACTTGTTTTTGATTGTGCTTTTTAATATTTTTGTTTCTCTTGGTTCCGGTTGCATAATGTGTTGTTTGTTAATCAATCATTAATTGATTGTTTGATTATCTGTTTTTTTTATACCTCCATTCTACCTGGTAATAGCATATTGTGATTAAGCGCCCTAGTGAAGTGAAATGTATCAGTAGGCTTCCCTGGAGTTTTCTGGAGTTTTCTGTGATGTTGTCTAATATTATAATGATTTTATATGCTTGAATAGAGAAGCAGGCTTTTTAGTTGACATTGACGTGTGGTCATCCAGTTTTTCCTTTTCACAAACATTTTAAGTAGATTTTGATCTGTAAAGATCAGTGTGGTGAAAGCATCCAAGAAACTCATCATGGATTAAATTTCAGAAAAATATTTAAGTGGTAGGATTTCCATATATCTACAAATTATTAATATTGGTTTCCATTGCTTAGTCTTTTTTTTAAATTTACTTTAGAAAATTGTATTTTGTTGACCCAAATCACATATTAGTCGGGATGAATTTGATTTCCAGTGTTTTGGTGTTACTAGTTTAGCTGCTGTTATTAAAAAAATAGCAAGCTGTCAGTTTTAAAGCAGCATTAAACCAAAAAAATACAATGTATATATAGTTGGTAAAATTGAATAAAGACACCAGTCCATCTAGTTCAACCTGTGTGAGTGTGTGTATGTGCTAAAGCTAATGCCATTTCCTATATCCCTGTATATTGCGTTTGCTAAGAAGCCCATCTAAGAGTTTTTTAAAATTACTGACACTCCCCATGACACCACCAGTTGTGCAAGGGAGTTCCTCATCCTTACCGCTCTAACAGTAAAGAACCAACGACGCAGTTTAAGGTTATACAAACTTATTGAATGGCTGCGTGTCTTCTTAAGACCACTAAAACTGAATAGTTTCCTCCTGTCACAGCTGCTTCCCCTGGCAGGATGACCTCCCCCCCCCCCCCACTGTCTCTCGTTGTGCGGCCCCTCTCATCTCTGCCACTATCTTGTCCCCATCCGGCGAGGCCAGAGGAGACGGGATAGCGAGGCTTACACCTCTCTGCGGAGAGGTGCGGACCTCCTGCAGAGATGAGAGGGATCACAGCGACAGGCTGACGCCGCACGATCCCTGTCATCCGCAGCATGGGTACGGGAAGTTCCCGCGCTTGAGGATGTCCCTGGACAAAGGTCACGCTCACGAGAAGCCCCGGCCCGCCCCCAGTTGCCAGGACGACCAGAGAGCGTCTTGCATCAGCTTAAGAGGCTGATGCAGGGCTCTCCGATCATCCATTCTGCTTTTCGGTCACGGAGGGAGCCCAGCTGAGGCGGGACCCTCGTGACCAGACTCTGCCTGAGACTCCCACGTCTAGGGGGAGATCGCCCACACCTGCCTGAGACCCCAGCTAAGGGGGGATTACCTGTTACCTTCCTGAGACCCCCGAGCCTAGGGGGAGATTGCCTGCCACCTGCCTGAGACCCCAGCTAAGGGGAGATTACCTGCTACCTGCCTGAGACCCCCAAGCCTAGGGGGAGATCGCCTTCCACCTGCCTGAGACCCCAGCTAAGGGGAGATTACCTGCCAGCTGCCTGAGACCCCAAGCCTAGGGGGAGATCACCTGCCAGCCTAAAGGGAGAGGCCACGCGCCTATTCCGGACCCCAACAGGTACCTGTCTCCTACTTTCGTATCCCTGGGAGACCAGGCACCCTGTCGGATCCGTGAGCATATGCTTTTCCCTGTTTTACTTAAACTGTTCCCGTGTTGACCCCCTACTCCCCCTGTTGGATTACAATCTGCTACAGAGACATTTTCTTTGCCCCCCGTACTGGACTACAAGTGTTTTAGCCCCTCCTTGCTGTTCCCCTACCAGCGAGTGTCACCCTCCCTGCGAACCCCCCTATTGAGTGACTGTCATCCATTTTTGTCTCAAAAAAGCTTTGTGCGTTTGCCATCTACTCTGTGGGTTTTGTCCTGCCTACCCTCTGTCACACCTACCTATGCTAGAATCACCATTTAGATATTTGTATATCGCTATCTTATCTCCTCTTAAGCGTCTCTTCTTCAGAGAGAATAGGTTGATTGTTTGTAGTCATTATTCGTAACTGAGGTCCACCAATCCCCTTATTAGCTTTTCTGCCCTTCTCTGAACTCTGGACTTAGCACATCCTTCCTGAGGATTCGTGACCAGAACTGGATGGCAAACTCAAGATTTGGCCAGACCTGAGATTTGTAAAGTAGAACTATAGTCTATTCTTTTTAATGCATGCTAACAGTCTGCTAGCTTTGTTGAGTCTGTGATCTGCTAGGAACCGCAGATCATCCTGGATTCCCCCAAAGGCTCATCTCATAGCGAGTAACTAATGTTCATATTTTTAGCCCCCAAGTGCATTACTTTGCATTTTTGCGACATTAACCACTTCCATACCGGGCACTTTTACCCCCTTCCTGCCCAGGCCAATTTTTAGGTTTCAGCGCTCTCACACTTTGAATGACAATTGCGTGGTCATACAACATTGTACCCAAACTAAAATTTTATCATTTTCTTCACACAACTAGAGCTTTCTTTTGGTGGTATTTCTTCACTGCTGGGGTTTTTATTTTTTGCTAAATTAACAAAAAAAGACCAAAAAATTAAAAAAAAACACGTTTTTCTTTGTTTCTGTTATAAAATTTTGCAAATAAATAATTGTTCTTCATAAATTTAGGCCGAGATGTATTCTGCTACATGTCTTTGGTGAAAATAACCCAAATTAGGATGTATTATTTAGTTTGTAGGAAAGTTATAGAGTTCACAAACTATGGGATGTATCTGAAAATTGATCAATCCGGAAGTACTGACAGCCAATCTAATTTCTTGAGGTCCAAGAATGTCAGAACAGTACAGATATCCCCCAAATGACCCCTTTTTGCAAAGTAGACAGCCCGACGTACTTCATAGGAGGCATTGCGAGTTTTTTGAAGTTGTCATTTTTTTGTCATAATTTTTCGGAAATGAAGAAGTAAAAAAAATTATTTTCACTATTTTTTTTTTACATACTGTCACCAGTGCAGTACAGCATCATTATATAACTGGTGTGGCGGTGATCAGGGACACTGACTGGTGAAAGTACGAAAAAAAAAATTGATAATTTTTTTTTTTTTTCATTTTTATTATTTTTTATTAAATTTTTTCTCATTTTTTAAGATTTTTTTTCATATTTCACTATGACCAAAGTAGTATAATGTTACCATAGTAACATTGTACTACTTTGAGGAAGTGATCAGTATTTTTTTTTTATCAAATTCATTCAGGTTTTTTTTTGTGCTTAGCTGTGATTTGGCCATGGCTAATCACATGACACAGCCGGGCTGTGATTAGCCCAGCTTGTGCATGTGATCACTGTGACCATTCACAGCTAGACACACTTGTATACAATGGATGGCATGAAAGGACGCCATCCATTGTATACACCTGCCATGTGACCTGCTGTGATTGGTCACAGCAGGTCACATGGTACTGGCAACGGGGCCGATACACAGATCTGTCATCGTCCATGTCAGAGGTATACGGCCGGTGACAGATCGCGCAGGCAAACTGCGCATAACTGAAGGGATGCCATATGGCGTCCACCCGGAGGGACGAGCTTCTCGCCCAGCCGCCATCTGGCTATAGGCCGGGTGGGAACTTGTTAAACCTCATTTGCTATGTGGTTGCCAATGCCAGCTTATTGCAGTTTATCAATCCCTAAATGTGGTAGATGCATTAGTTTTCTTTAGTTCATTTATTTTCATTTGGTGATTCAATAACACACTTCCTGTCGTAGGGTGTCTCCATTCTGGATGGATGATCAACAGAGACAACTTTGGTCAGCAGCATTTGTTATTTTGGGGAGTGGGTAATGTTAGATGCACTAGAAAATTTAGGGTACACATACAAATTTAGACTGGTTACTGCTGAACTGGCCAAACTTCACCACAAAGACACCCACTGGAGCTCATGAATTGAAAAGTTGAAGGAGTTGGAGGGAAAATTGTTAGCCGAACAGCGGCTGCATCCAATCAGATGCAGCCATTGTTTGAGTATTCTGGCACATGCTGTAAAGCATGGATGGGATAATCTGTTCGGTTATGTCTGTTCAGCCCAAAGGTTGAACCAAAATAATCTATGTATACTCAGCTCAACAAATTAAAGCTGTACTACAGCTAACACTTTTTAACCCCTTCGTACTGAAGGGTAAAACAAATTTTAACACCTAAGCACAATTTTGCAACTTAGACACGTGTTAGCAAAACCGGACATATCATCACAACTACTTTGTGCAGCCAGGTGAATTATACCGCGTTTTTTTTCAAGACAAATTGGGCTTTCATTTGGTGGTAAATGATAATGGATTTCTCATGGTGTTTTTTTTATTATCAAAGGAAAACTGGCCAAAAATAGTAAAAAAAACCTAATTTTTTTTTAACCACTTGCCTACAGGGCACTTATACCCCTTCCTGCCCAGGCCAATTTCCAGCTTTCAGCACTGTTGCACTTTGACAATTGCGCAGCCATGCAACACTGTACCCATATGAAATTTTTATAATTTTTTTTGTGACAGATAGATCTTTATTTTGGTGGTATTTAGTATTTAATCATATCTGGGGTTTTTCTTTTTTCTTAAAAAATCAAAAACCACTTAAAATTTTAAAAAAAAAAATGTTTTTTCTTAGTTTTTGTTATAAAATTTTGTAAATAAGTGATTTTTCTCCTTCACTGATGTGCATTAATGAGGGCTGCACTGATGGGCACTGATATGGACACTGATAGGGGCACTGATGGGCACTGATGAGGAGGCACTGGTAGGTGTCACTGATGGGCATTGACAGGCATCATTGATGGGCACTGAAAGGCAGCACTCATATATGGCACTGATATGCGGCACCGATAGGTGGCACTGAGTGGCACTGATAAGCGGCACTGCCTGGCACTGTTAGGTGACACTGACTGGCGGCACTGATAGGCAGCACTGACGGGCAGTAATAGGCGGCACTCATGCACGCTGATAGGCGGCACTGACTGGCACTGATAGGCGGCACTGACTGGCACTGATAGGCGGCACTGATTGGCAGCACTGATAGGCGGCACTGATTGGCAGCACTGATAGGTGGCACTGAAAGGCAGCTTAGATGGGCACTGATATGTGGCATTGATGTGGCACTGATGGGCACTGAAATGTGGCACTGACAGGTGACATGGATAAGCACTGAGAGCTGGCATTGATGGGCACTGACAGGTGGCACTGCTGGGGCTACACAGATCATCAAGGCACACTGATCATCAGTGCCCTGATGATCAGTGCACATGTCCCCTCTGAGGAATGCCGATTACCGGCTCTCCTCTCCTCTGTCAGAGTGACAGCTCGTGAGGAGAGAAATGTCGATAACCGGCATTTCCCTGTTTACATGTGATCAGCTGTGATTGGACACAGCTGATCACATGACCGAGCCAACATCTTCGGCTCTTTCCGTGGATCTGTGATCGGCTGTGTCCGAGGGACACGGCGCACCGCCGATCGCCACTCTGCGCACTCCTGGAGCCGCGCATGTGCAGTGAGAATGGGAGGACGTCATATGATGTCCTCCCAGAACGATAGAACCACCTTGCGTCCATCATATTACTATATGGCGGGCAGGAGGTGGTTAAACTTTAGCGGTATATTTCTGCTACTACTATAATCTACCACCAAAGAACAACCCAGTGCATACCCCAGCAATTTGCTTTTTTTTTTATTCTGCCACTAACTGGCACTGATACTAATTTAATAATTAAAAAAAAAATACTGACCAAAAAAAAAAACGCTGACCCTTGACCTTAACCCAAGCACTAACCCTGGCACAGACTTAGATCAAACCTTGATCTAGGTAGTTTTGTTTATTTTTTATTTAATTTGTTAAATTATTATTTTTATTTGTTTATTTTTACAGACTGAGTTTTTTTGTCTCTGAAAGGACAGACAATGTATCTCTCATCTCCATTCAGAGAGAGAAAACATCGGGGGTGGGCTTCACAGTGACTGATCACTGTGATAGCCTATTAGAGGCTATCACAGCAATTGGCGACCCAGAAATGGGAGGTCTGGATCTCGATCATCAGAACGGGACTCATGGATCTCAGTGACACCCCGGTCTTTGTGCTGGGAGCATGCCATGCGGCACACTCCCAGCACAAAGCCAGGTACGCAAATTAGCTACCCCATGGAAAAAAGCCCAGTTCTCTGAGGCCACTAATTTGCATACGGTGAGCATCAAGGGGTTAAGCAGTTGCAGCAACATTTTTGGGGATAAAGGTTTTACATAAATGAATAAAATATGACCATTGTAAGCTCCCCCTGTCAGTGGTAATTCGTTTGTCTCAGCCCTCTAACTGCCACTTTTGCAGCTTGATCTGTTAAAGGAAGCTGAAAAAATAACAGACTTCCTGGCTGGATCAACAGGTGAAAATAAAGGAAAAAAGCCTAAAAACAGAAAACAAATGCAGCCATCACATTTAAGAATTGGTAAGCTGCAATTTATGACATTTTTTGTCTTTGGGTTTAATACTTTTACTTACTTTAATACTTTTTTCAATATCTAAGAGGTCGTTTACATTAGCAGTGCTGTATGAAGAGAGTTCCGTGTTTCTCCACTTTGTATCACCTCTTCACTGCCTGCTTTAGTCCCTTGATCTTAGCATTAGGACGCCGCAACATTGTGCATTGCATGTGGTTGCAGGGTTCTTGCAGAGCATCCCCATTCATGTGAAAGTAACAGGAGGTATAATTCTTACATGTTCTAGTAGAAAACACTGTATGTTCTACTATGTTCTTGGAATACTGATCCCTGAGTAGGAGTGTCTGTGTTCAATATAATCAACCAATGCAATCACAGTCTTCTAATGAGGGAAGCTGCAGTGTCTGCATTGCTTTACAAGTAATTAACCCTTAGGCCAGGGGCGGACTGACCATTTGGAAACTCGGGCACTGCCCGAGGGCCCGGGGTCAGTAGGGGGCCCCATGAGATGCCCCTGGTACCTTTTTCATAGGCTTTTTTGAGTTTGGGCAAGGACACAGGGGCCCCATGATTCCCTATTGCCCGGGGGCCCCATGAGTTGTCAGTCCGCCCCTGCCTTAGGCTAGGTTCACACCTATGCAGTTTGCGTTTGATCCATTTCTACAGTGCTTTTTGTGGTGCGTTTTGCGTTTTTTGCACATGCGTTTTTGCAGCTTTTTTGATGCATTTTTTTTCTTGTTGCTAGGCAGATTAAAACAATAAATGCAAAACGCATCACAAATGCATCAAAAACACAGCAAAAACGCACTACATGCTTTTCTGCAGCGCTTCCATTGAAGTCTATAGAACCAAAAACGCAACTTTTTGCATTTAAAAAAGTCCCCGACCCTTTCCAAAAAACACACCATGTGAAAATGCAGGGATGTGAACGTGTCCCATAGGAAATCATATTAAATGGACTGTAGTGCGTTTCTGCAAAACGCAAAATGCTGTGGAAAACACTCAGGTGTGAACCTAGGGTAGGTCTAGGTTTACAAATATGTGTGTTGCTGTTGATGTGTTTTTGCAGTTTTTTTTTTTTTTTTATGCATTTTTTTATATGTTTTCATGCTTCTGCATTATTTTTATTTTTTTTTGTAGGAGGGGACTGGTTGTTAAACACAAAACCCTAGCAAAAATACACTAAAAGAGAATGAACATGTCTTTTGATGCTGTTCCATTGAAGTATATTAAGCCAAAAATGCACCACTCTGCACCTTTTCCAAAAACAAACTGCAGGAAACTGCATATATATGAATGGCACAAAATATATAAAAAACTTGCGCCAAAGGAATAGACAATAAATAAAATGCTGCTGTTCAGAAATTGACTAACCATCAAAATAAAGTGATACAGTGAAAATAATACAGAAAATATAAAAATGTGAAAAAATATATATTAAAGTCCAACAAAAGTCCCAAATTAAAGTCCAATGTCCCAAAAATTTGTGAAAAAATTAAATAGAACTATAACTCAAACTTCATAAATTTTCCAGCATGCTCACATCTTCAGTGAAAAAAACCCATTTGAGCCACACTCACCAAATACTATGCATTCTCGAGCTAATATAGCTTTAAGAGACAAAAAGACAAGCCTGCAGGTGGGGTGTGGTATCCTCAGAAGTTGTAACACTCTTAAACGATATCTCACTGACTCTCCTTCCCAGATATTTCCACATATAGCGACATAAAACATAAAAGAAAAGATACCAATGGTGTATTACTGTATACCGATAAAAAATATATAAAGTACCAAGAAAACAAACTTCCTTTCACTCACATAAGATGGTTAAACATCAATTTTCATGGAAACATATGCCTCCCAAATCACAGATGATAATCCATCCCTAAATTCCTCCATGGATGGATGGATAAAGGTAATTTGTGATCAGCTTGTAAGTCTCAAGCCTTCACTAATGATTCCTCCTTACTTTACCCTGAATTCATTCTCATGGGTAGATGGATGAGAAATGCAAAAGAAAGGATACCAATATAGTGTAATACTGTTAAAAATACTTTAATACTCAAGTGATGCTCCAAATGCACTCACATTTTACAATAGAATATAAAGTCTTTTTGTAAATAAATCAGGACTCTTTAAACTTGTTCCAACAGCCCTTTAGACATGAATATATATGAATGGGAGTAAGAAATAATGTTAAATGGATTGTGGTGCATTTCTGCAAATCTGAAAGTGCAATATAGAACATGCAAATGTGAATCAGAGGAGGCCTACAATATGGCTTGTATCTTAGTGCAGACTTCTGGGAAAATCAGTGAGCCAATCACACAAGCAAGACATTTTTTGGGAAGGTCTGTACACCACCTATGTATGGGACACCTCCAGGATGCCATATTGCATTGACTTTTACTGAAGATTACAGTACCTACACATTTAAAAGGAAAGGTAATTTTTAATCACATTAACCACTTCCTGACCGCGCTATAACCAAAAGATGGCTACAGTGCGGCCAGCGAGAACCATATGCCCTGCGTGCCCCATGTGCACTATGCACAATCTGTGATTGCTGTGTCCTTTGGACACAGCTGATCATGCGTCCAAATAAAGGTCCAATCAGAGCCGCCTTTTACGTGTAACCAATGATGTCCAATCACAGATGATCGCAGTGTAAATAGGAAATGACGGTTATCGGCAGTCCTCTCCTCATGCTGACAGCACGTGAGGCATTAAGTGGCATTTCTTAGGGGAGAGTACACTAATCATCAAGGCACTGATCATCAGTGTAGTCCCAGCAGTGCAGCCAATAGTGCCCATCTGTGCTGGCTTTCAGTACCCATCAATGCCCATCTGTGCTGGCTTTCAGTACCCATCAATGACCCCATAAGGCTGTGTTTTGATGTGGGCTTTCTAAAGTGTGTTTTGAATTTTTTTCCTATATGTGGAGAGACGTATGGAGAGGAGAGTATAGAGGACTTGGATCCTCGTGAGAAGGGATCAATCCCAGAGCAAAAATCAGTGATAAAGGACTATATTTTAAAAGGAAAGAGTCTTAACCAAGCAGGTTCCATCATATAGCCTAATTATGCTGAGCTTACATCTGCACTAATGGAAGGATTCACAACCATCACGGATTGCCCATGCAATCACGGATTGAAGATTAATTAAAGCACAAAGTCACTTACATATTTTTTATCTATGGGACAATGTTTTCACACAATATTAATTGTATTTATGCTTTCAGAATTATATTGTTTTTTTTCACATCTGATGAAATATTGATTTAGCTATTTTTAATCACAGTAATCACGGATATCTGTGATTTGTTTTTTAAGTTTCAGTATTTTCCATCAATGATTTTTTTCACCCATCTGTGCTGGCTTTCAGTATCTTTCAATGAGCGCCCATCTGTATCCATCAATGCCCATTAGTGCTGCTTTCAGTATCCATCAATGCCCATCTGTGCTGGCTTTCAGTATCATCAATGCCCATCTGTGCTTTGGCTTTCAGTACCCATCAATGCCCATCTGTGCTGGCTTTCAGTACCCATCAATGCCCATCTGTGCTGGCTTTCAGTACCCATCAATGCCCATCTGTGCTGGCTTTCAGTACCCATCAATGCCCATCTGTGCTGGCTTTCAGTATCCATCAATGCCCATCTGTGCTGGCTTTCAGTGCCCATCTGTGCCACCTTTCAGTGCCGCATATCAGTGCCTCCTCATCAGTGCCCATCAATGCCATCTATCAGTGCCCATCAGTGCAGCCTCATCAGCGCACATCAGTGAAGGAGAAAAATCACTTATTTACAAAACTTTATAACAGAAACTAAAACTTTTTTTCTAAATGTTTGGTCTTTTTTTGTTTGTTTAGAAAAAAAAATAAAAACCCCAGTGGTGTATATACCAAATTGAAAAGTTGGCCTTGAACAGGAAGGGGGTAAAAGTGCCTGGTAGGCAAGTGGTTAAAGTCCAATATGG